TTGCTGCATAAAAACAGCAATATCAGAACTAAACCGTGTAGAATCAAAGTTTTGCATCTTTTAGATTAACCAAGTCTATCTTACTCAAGGCATCATTGTACAGTCACTCATTCAAATATTTTTGTTCTGATCATTATTTATTCTGAAGCTTGAGAAAGAAGCAATGAAGGATGCAGTTTTAAAAGCCATAGAAGAAGAGAGAAAAAATTTAGAAAAAGCCCATGCTGAAGAAAGGGAATTATGGAAGACGGAACATGCAAAAGATCAAGAAAAAGTATCTCAGGAAATTCAAAAAGCTATACAAGAACAAAGAAAAATAAATCAGGTTAGTAAAATTAACTCTTTGTAAGTATTTTATTTTTTTTCTTATTTTTCTCAAAATGAAATATCCTTACTATTATTTTATCTTACTTAAAATCACCTTAGTGGACATATCATTTTTTAATTTTTTTTGGTTTTGATACTAGTATTTTGAACTAACAGCTTTTAATATTTCAATGTGCTTTCATCTTTCTGATATTGAAAACTTGGTAACTTAACCATTTTACCTTTTTATTTTCAGAAAGGTCAGAATTCTAATTTATGTTTAATCATTGCAACTACATTAAGCTTTCTGATTTTTCTCCTTTTCATAAACACACGCACACACACACACACACACACACACATACACAAATACCAAAAGATATATTTGCATAGAAAGACAGTTTGATTCAATTAATTTATAATTTTACTTTGTGTGTCTATATACCTTTAATTGGTAGCAATAATTAATAAAACCTCACAAATATTCCTTTTGGTCTCATAAGGGATATATAAAGATCAACAATCATATCCTATATAAAAAATAACTTTGATTACTTATCTGAAAAATTAAAAACTCTACCTTACTTTTATTTTCTATAATTAAATTTCCATGGTTTTGTTTTAGTTGTATTTAGTCTTTTCTTTATGAAGGCAGAGATACTTAAATAAATCTTGCCTTAATCAAGTATAAGAAACAAAAATAGCATTCATAGAAGTCTCTTTCACATGGTCAAACTGTTACATATACTACCATTGTTCATCAACTATGCCATTATAAATGTCGCTAAACTGACTAACTTTTGAGAACAGCCTAGATTTTTTTGACTCATTAACTAATCCTGATGAAATCCTAAAAAATTCAGTGTTTCCAAATCAAGGATAAATGTTACATTTTTAAAAGATGTCACTTAAGTTTATTCTCAGGAGCACATAGTTATCTATTTATTATAGAAATTAAACAGGTCTGTAGGGTAGCATCTATGGTAAGATAATAGTATCTACTACTCTTATGCTTTTTTTCATTAAAGTAATAATTACCTTCTAATTCTTACTGTATCCTATCAATAAATGTATATTGAACACCTATTGTATAAAAGATGTTTGTCTGTTAGTTTAGTTGGTTGAAATTCCATGCCAGTAAGATCTAGTTCATTGGTTAAGTTCTTATTTGGAAGAATTTATTTAAAATTCTTTTGTGACCACAGACCACTCCTCTAACCTCATGTAAAGGATGGCCATTAATCATTATGAAATTGGCCATGGGGCATGAATAAATCAGCATATATTCATCACCCAAATGAAAAATATACATCTTAAAGAGCACACCTTTCTGCCGGTTTGCCAGGAGTCTCCAAGAAACACTGAAATATATTATATACTATTTTAAAATTTGTTCCCTAAAGGATCAGAGTGTAGTGAAGATAGTCCTAGCATGTCTTGAATAAGTACCTTATGTTTATTTTCTTGCATATGTTTTTACGTTTTGCTAGAGATTGTGTGTGTGTGTGTATGTGTGTGTGTGTGTGTGTGTGTGTGTGTGTGTTTAATTGCTGTGTGGCTAAGAAGGTTGAACAGGGAATATCTATACCAGAAAACAATATTGCCAGGTAACTCTCAGGTTTTTGAAAGTCAGGCGGTAGTGTCAAATGCACTCAAAGTTTTCTTTAAACAGCCCATTCCTTTCATTTTCATATGGCTGAGTTTACTATACCCAAACAACTGTCATTCCCTTAGCCCGTTAAAGCTGCATAGTCCTATCCTAGGAAACTGATTAATAAATTACTTTTTTGGGGAGGCAAGATGAAGCTCAGATCTCTTTTATTTAGACCAGCAGGATAATCAAACAAATCTCCATAGTCAAACTTTTCTTTAGTGTTTTATATTAATAATAGAAATGATTGCCTACTATATTGCAGGCACTATACTTATTTCTGGGGATATAGCAGTGGAAAAAAATTCCTCCTATCTTGTGAAGAAGATTAATAGGAAACTAATAAAAGTATAATGTCAATTAGTGGTCAATGTCATGAAAAATAAAGCTAGAGAGGGAAGGAAGCAAAATATAAAGAGAGGGTAGTCAGGTAAGAGATCTTGAAGAGCCAGCATTTCAGCTGAAGCCTGCACTGAGGTGAAGAGTTTGCCTTATGAATAGCTGGGGAAAGAGTGTTCGAGGAAGGAATAGTATTTCCGAGGCAATCCCTGAGGCAGAAAGATGCTTGAGGTAATTAAAATTGTATGCCATTGTTATGGGAATAGACAGTCAAGAGGACCAATGAACCAGGATAGAATCCAGAAATAGACCCAACTTTTCTATAATTTTCAAATCTGTAAAAATGATGTTACAAATTAGATAGGGTAAAATGAACCTCAGCAAATTTGGGGTTTTAATCTGGATTCCATGGAAGGGGGCCTGTAAAGTGTGTGAATTTACTGAAATTATGTAAAACTGTGTATATGTGCAGATTTTTCTGCAGAGATCATTCATAAGTTTTATAAAATTCTTAAAAGTATCTTACTAATTGGCCCAGAAAATATTACAAATAATTGCAACTGGTTGCCTTTTTCCTTCTGGACTCTATAATAAAATGAATTCCAAATAGATTAAAATATTTAAACCTATTAATCTAATATACTAAGAAGAATTGAACAAATATTGAAACTCTTTGAAAGGAAGAGTCTAAACAGTTCTTCTGAATTGGTGGACTAAGGACCTCTACCAATTAGTTTCTTCATAAAGGCAGTGAAAACACTAGCAAAAATTGTAAAAATCAACTCTTTCAAAACTCTGAATATTAACCAAGAACTTGTAACAATCCAAATATTTATTCAAGAAAAATGGTTAAATCATACTAAGAATACCAAGATTTGTAGTCTCTTAACTTGCTCTATTCTCATTTCCCTCCCCTCAGGTCCATGGTTGCTTTAAAAAGCAGTAGCCACAGTAATGAAAACCCCACAATGTAGAAACCACTGGAAGGGAAAACTAGGTTTGGAGCTCCAAAAAAGCCATGTCCCCAGATAATTGTTACTATTTGACCTGTCTGACAGCTCCCTCAAAAGTTCCCTTTTGGGCCATGCGCGGTGGCTCACGCCTGTAATCCTTGTTTGAGCTCAGGAGTTCGAAACCAGCCTGAGCAAGAGTGAGACCCCGTCTCTACTAAAATTAGAAAGAAGTTAATCGAACAACTAAAAATATATAGAAAAAATTAGCCGGGCATGGTGGCGCATGCCTGTAGTCCCAGCTACTCGGGAGGCTGAGGCAGAAGGATCACTTGAGCCCAGGAGTTTGAGGTTGCTGTGAGCTAGGCTGATGCCATGGCACTCTAGCCCAGGCAAAAGAGTGAGACTCTGTCTTAAAACAAAAAAAAAAAAACAAGTTCCCTTTTGCATGGCTTACTAATATTTGACCTGATTCCAAACTCACTCAGCGAGAGAATCCCTATCCCCAGGATGCGTGTCAAAAACAATAAGCAGCAGTCATTTATCTTCTCAGATGCCTGGAATAGATATACCGGTTGGACAAAAAAGAGCCTGGCCGAAAAATCTTGAAAAGAAAATCTGAGAGAGAATTGTGATTGCTATAAGTGGCTTTGAAAATACTCTGGGAAATCTTGAAAGTCACACACAGACCCAGGAAAGACCTCAGAAAGACCTAATCTCTGGCTGACTTGGATTCTTTGCAAGCAGGAAGTGAAACCTAAGGTAGAGTTGTAAACGGCCAGCATGTTGACGGTGTATCCCAACACACAGAGACCCTTAGAATAGGATGGAAGACTTACAGGTTCAGGCATTTAAGGAAATGTCTGTTCAATCATTAGCTGACCACTAAGCTAACCCATAAGAGATTTCAGTGGCTAAATGTGACAAGGAATACAGACTTTGCAGAATTGTCCAGAAAAGTTATTTTCTAAACAGACAAACAACAGCATCAAAAAATAACAGTAATTTTGGGCAGATACAGGAGATCTGATTTCTTAGTTCCCACATTCCCTTATTTTTAAAGTCCAATTTTTATCAGCATCAAAGGAATTATGAGATTTGCAAATCAACAAGAAGGTATGCTGTATACACAGGAAAAAATGCAGTCAATAGAGACTACCTGGGTGTTGGACTTCATACACAAAGTTTTAATCTGTCATTATAATTATATTCAAAAAACTAAAGGTGACTATTTCTCAAGATTTACAACCCCTCATTTTATATATTATGTGTGTGCTCTTCTGAAATTAGCACTAGAATTTGTTGAAGGACTGATCCATGAGTTGTTAACAGTGCACCCACTTTACTGAAAATGCAAGGGAGCAGATACATGGGCACACACTTACTTCTGTTCCAACTGTTATCTGTGAGTACTCATCATTTTGTTGGAGAGAAAATGCCCTGTCCTCCTATCTTCAAATTTATACTTTTCTTACTGTATAAATTGATTAATGTACTTACTTGATTGATTGACTTTCCCACTGATCTTAGAGCTTCATAAATGTCTCAATCATATTAATACTCTTAGGAGGCCCTAGCATAGTGTCTAGTTCATAGTATGTGTTCTAGAGAACTGATCACTGTCCTTAAATAAGGGCCAAACTCTCATTCAGTTAACTCTATATTAGTGAGCACCTCATCAACCAAATATAATTTAATAATTGACAGTGCCATAGTCTCTTCATGACATCATCAGGTATCATGTGGTCTTTATGTAGTAATTTTGCTGTGTGTCTTCTATAATACAGAGCTATCAACACAGAAATCCTATAAAAATTTCTCAGCAGGTACTGGACTTTTTATATCTACAAGTAGATGTGTTTCATCAGAGGGAAATATGGAAGTAGAGTTCAGGTGAGTTGTCAGGGCTGGAGATAAAAATTCGGGATTAATAAGCATACAGGTGTTATTTAAAGCCAAATAAATAAAGAAATATTTTCTGGATAGAGCTCTGGATGACATTCTTTTATGGAGTGTGTCCATGTTCTACTTAGAAAGATTATGGCCACTTCAGAGTAACTGTGTAATAGTGGAAATAGT